ACTAAGCACCAGTGGCTATAACACTACCCTGGAGGTTGAGGGTACACAGCAAAAACAGTCCTGCAACAGCAGGTCTCAGAGCCTGAGTCTATAGATTTGGGCTTGCAGAACTCATGGTATGGCGCTAAAAATAGCTATATAGTCATGCAGCATCTTGAAGCTGGGGGAGGGGAATGTTTCAGAGCCCAATCACCAGCCTGAGCCAGAACATCTACACAGTCATTTTCAGCTGTAGACATGGCAGGCTTTTTTTTTTTTTTAACCATGTAGACATGACCTTAGGGCACTAAAGAGTCATAGAACTTAAGGTCAGAAGGGACCACTAGATCATCTAGTCTGACCTCCTGTATATTGAAGGCCATCAACACCAGCTAAGCACTAAACCCAACAACGGAACTGAGACCCACAGGAGACTGGACTATTATGTGCCACAGGCAGAGAATAGAAGGGACTGAGGTGCACCACTAGGTCCCATTCTGTGATCAGCCGCACAGAAAATGAGACAGACTAAATATCAGGTACATCCAGCTCAAATGCTACCAGGAAAAATAAGGGAATACCTACAATCAGCTATATTTACTGAGAAGAAGGGGAAAGAAGAGGAAAAGGCTTTTAAATGGAAGGAATCAGACTTGCTCAACTGTGAATTATGGGTGATCTGCTGCTGTTAATGAAGGCTCTGCTTTAGCTCAGGTAGTAGGGTCGTGTTTTTTATAGTAGGAGGTTCTATCCCTGTTGCCATTGTGATGTCCTACATGGCCACATTGAGCAGCCTAGCAACAATCATGGAGCCCTCGGCAGCCAGAGATTCATTACAATAGTTTGCACTTCTCTAGCATCTTCCATTTAAGGATCTCAACATACTTCACAAAAATGGATTAATTTAGATTCACACCATCCCTGTGAGGTAGGTAAGTACCATCTTCCTTTTAAAGATAGGGAAACTGAGTTATAGCCAGACCACCCAGTGGCCCACACAGTGAGGGCAAGGCAGAACTAGGAAGATAACTTGAGAGTCCTGGGTCCCAGTCTCATGTTCCGGCCTCAAGATCATTTTATAACCCTCACAAAGACAAAAAAGAAAATAGTGATGAACAAAAGCCATTTTCTCTACCTCAGCATATTCCTTTGAAGTAGCCAGGTAGCTGCAACCTGCACAGGACATTTTCACATATTTGCAGATATTAAAATCAGAAGGAACTATTATGGAACCATAGAATTTCACCCAGTAATTCTTGTATCAAGCCAATAATTGCTGGTTGAACTAGAGCTTATATTTTAGGGTACATCTACACAGCAGCTGGAAGCATGCTTCCCAACTTGGACAGACAGACTTGCACTAGCTCTGGTCAAGTAATGGAGCTAAAAATAGCAGCGTAGTTGGGGGGTAGCACTGGAAGCAGCTCGGGCTACCTGCCCAAGAATGTACCCATGGGGGTTGGGCAGGTTTGTGCTGAGGTGATTCATTCAAGCCACCACCAGTGCTACCCCTGGCTACACTGCTATATTTAGCATGGTAGCACAAGCAGAGCTAGTGTGTGTTTGTCTCCCACAGTGCAGCCATACTCATAGCCAGTTTTGGTTTAAAGACTTCAAGTGACAGAGTATCCAACACATCCTTTGGTAAATTGCTTCAATGGTTAGTTATCCTCACTGTTAAAAAAGTGCACCTTTTTTCAGTCTGAATTTGTCTACTTTCAAATTCCAGCCATTGAATCTTATGTCTTTTTGTACCTGATTAAAAAACATTCTATCAGAAATCTCCTCATATAGGTACTTGCAGACTATGGTCAAACTTCTCTTAACTTTCTCCTTTTTAAGTGAAAGAAATTGAGTTTGAAAAGTTTTTCATTGTAAGGTAGATTTTTCCAGACCTCACATCATTCTTGTACTTTTCTGAATTCTTTCCAGTTTTCCAATATCCTTATTTGAAGTGTAGACACCAGGACTAGACACAGTATGCCAATGATGGTCTCATTAATGCCATATGCAGAGGTAATGCTACCCCTCTACTTCTGATGTACATTTCCTTATTTATACATCCAATAATCACACTGGGATCTCATGTTTAATTGATTATCTCCCATGACCCTAAGTCATTTTCAGAGTCACTGCTTTCCCGGATATAGACTACCATACTTAATCTTTTTAATTATTAATTTTTAATCATTAGCCATTTTAAATAGACATCATCAACTTTCAAAATCACATTTCCATCTGACAACTTTGGAGCTAATCTTGTTACAAGTAGCCCTAAGATTAATGTAACTGAAAGAAATTAACAAGAGCGATCGAGAATGTCTTTTTTCCAGTTGGTTTTTGTTTTTTTGCAGTTAGCAGCACATTGTGTGTAGTCAGTGTCGCTGTTTTGTTAATGGTACGCGGTTTTTCCCAGGACTTGGAAGAGAATGCTTACCACTAATAGCAGCAGCAGAGTTGAAAATGAAGTGGCATTAGGCAGAAAGAGAAGGTGGAGTAGGGACTTGAGGGGTAGAGACACTGAAGCATGTTTGAGTGGTGTTCTCTGGCCCATTCAAAAGATCCTTCTATATATCACAAGGGGAGAAGAACAATACTTAGCATTTTTTTTAAAAAGGAATTAAAAATAAATAGAAACCTTTAAAATCTATTTTCTGGTGATTTACCTTTTAGACAGTAAGTTGACAGTGTCCCTTTAAGAGTGGTAAACTGCTGCAAAAAAATCTGGAAGTAGAACTGGGAGAAATTTGGGGGGGTGGGGGGGGGGGCAAATAATTTCTGCACTGAAAAATGCAGTTTGGGTTGACCTGAAACTATTCACAAATGAGACATGATTTCACCAAATAGATTCAGTCCCCAAAATCTTTTGGGGGACTTAGGTGCCATTCACAGAAGGCAGAGGTTGCTTTCTTTGAGTTTTAGCCCAGTGTTTAGGGAGCTTACATGGGACACAGGGGCTCCAGGTTCAGTTCCCTGCTCTGATTAAAAAACATGTTTTAGAGTGATAGACTCAAGCAGCTCAATCTATTTAGTTTAATGAAGAGAAGATTAAGGCATGACATGATTACAGTCTACATAAGTACATACAAAGGGAATAAATATTTGATAATGGGCTCTTCATCTAGCAGAGAAAGGTATAACATGATCCAATGGCTGGAAGTTGAAGCTAGACAAATTTAGTCATGGTATACAACTACTCATTAAATTGATATTCAGCAGTTTAACTCCAATTTAACTCTACCCCTCCCATATTAAATAAATGGATAAAAAAAAATAAAGTTGGCTCTGCCCCGGCACAAAAACAGAAGAAAGGCTGCCAGCAAATGAGGTATGCTGCAGAGCTGCAGCCATAAGGAATGTTTGCCTGAGTCTGGGAAAACAACAGAACCAGAGTATTGAACTTTCCTCTTTCTCACTACACGTTTTGTTCCAGCACTTTTTACTTATCACCCTCCAACCAGCTCCCATTTTATTTCTTTTTGGGAAAGGAACGGACACTGTAAGAGAAGGTGCACCCTTCTAAATTAAACTCCAGATCATGGAACTCTTTTCTTCCCTGACCCCAGTCTTCATAGCAATTATATGTGTTTTGATTGGGATAATCCTGAAAAGCAACAGGAAAAGCAGCAAGAAAGGGAAGAGTGAGACTAAAAATAAGTCT